CTTCTACAGTATATCTCAAACACCCTCTTCAACTTGTACCGGTGGAACAACAAGAAGAAGATAAAGACCGAATAAGAACTGAGAGAGAAGAATGGGGCGGTGGTTTCACGTGTAATATGTGAAATCTTGTTTTCTTCCCAGAAGCTTATTGATGTATATATAGAGCTACAGTAGCGACCTTTATGAAATTAGTAATAGAGTTTCTTAATTAATTAGACTTACTGTGGGTCAAACCCACTACTCTTTAATTAAATAATATTAATGGACCACCAACATAATATTATTGCACTTCATTTTCCTAGTCCAATTTACAATTGAGACTGCATTAATAATTACTTGAATTATCTCCCAATGTTTAAGATATAATGTCTATTAATTAATTCGATTACTAACAATCAAGAATTAATTTATTTATTATTATTTCATCGAAGCTAGCGCTCAATCATCACATTATTACTATGTCGAAATTTAATTCACCTGCAGGGTTTAACATAATAATCCTTCATGAACTCACTCCAGGAACATCATCAAACTAAACGTACATGGTGACCGTAAATATCCTAACAACACATCATACATATAACAATATTATCCATGACAGTGGGTCTACTGGTCTAGTTCACTGAACCTCACCCATGTGAATCAAAGTAATAAATACCATATATATATATATGTTTAATATCTTACAGGTTAAGAGAACGCAGTAATTAACCAAGACCTAGTTCGTTTACAGCGATCAATATAAACGAACTGCTCCTCTCTGGGATCATGTTAAATAATAAATGTACTAGTGCAACTAATCAGGCAAGACAAACTGTACTAATGACACTACAACCGTTCTGATGGGGTGTTCATGTCCATCTAGGTAGTGAACTATTAATTCTTGTTTCGCGAGTAACTGATAGAATGATCTACAGTTCTCTCGATGACGACCTACACTATCTAATGCAAAACACAGAACGTAGAACTTATTTAATCTAACATGTTTGTCATTCATAAAGAGTAAAAGTGTAATATCATCCAATGTCAAGTTTTCAGTATATAACACTAACACTAAGCTGAGGCGGAGCTTCGAGGTCTTCTTGCTCGACACCTTCACCATCACCATCTTCAGTTTCTGGTTCATTATCAACCCTGAGTTCTCCATCACACTCTCTCCCTGGTGTGGCATCTCCAGGATGTTTGACAGATGAAAGATCCACCTTACCACTTGGTTCTCTTGTTTCTGGTAAAATAGAATCAGACATAGTTTTGCTAATGGAACATTACATCTCTTCTTCTGATAATTTTTTGATTTTCTGGATCCCATAACCTGTAGCCAAATTTCTCATCTCCATATTCTAGAAATATACATGGAATGACTTTATCATCAAGTTTTCGTCTCCGTCCCTTGCTTACGTGAACAAAAGTTTTGCATCCAAACACATTTGAATAAGAGTATTTAATATAATGCCCAAACCATACTCTTTCGGGATTATCAAAGACAAAGGAACAGATGGAGACAGGTTGATCAGGTAACACACCGTTAGAATAACTTCACCCCAGAATGACTTTGGTAGCTTAGTCATTCTTAACATACACATAGCTTTCTCCATAATGGTTCTATTGATTCTTTCAGCCACACCATTATATTGTGGGTTCCAAGTACAGTTTTCCCATGTCTGATTCCATGATCAGCACAAGAATTCTTGAATTCATGGGAAGTATACTCACCTCTATTATTTGTGCAAAGACATTTCAAAGATTTACAAGTTTGTCTCTCCACCATAGCATGAAACTTTTTGAAGTACTAGAAAACTTAGTCCTTTGTTTTCAAGAAAATACCCCCATAATTTTCGTGAAGCATTATTAATAAATGTCACAAAATATTTGTTACCCCAGAGACTCCTTTTCTATGGGTCCACATACATCATAATACACCATCTTCAACACATTCTCTTTGAAGTCAAGCTTTCAGTTATATATACTAACAACTTTTTCTATTGATGCGCAATAAAATAATTAAACAATCAAAATATTACGACAAAAAAGTAATTTCATCTCTTCAAGTTTTCCTCTCTATCGTCTTGCTGAAAAAAAAAATAAAAACAAAAACAAAAAAAGTTCTCCTTCCTCTCTCAATTGTTTATGGAGCCATGAACATTATTTTGAGGGATTATGATCCAAAATTTTCCTTGTCTTCCCCCTTAAGAAATTGAATCAAACACATAAAATTTCCACTCCCCTTCCTTCCCATCCAAAACCCCCTTCCTTCCCATCCAAAACCCCAACCAAACGCTACTAAAAGGAAGTTCATAAGGGAAGAAACTTTCGAAAGTCTTTTGGAAAAAAAAAAAAAAATAAAAATAACTTTTGGGAATGTAGTATGATATAGTGGTTTTGCTCACCTGCCCACGGTGTGCAGGCCCACCACTTTGTTTTACATGAAAAACGTATTCTGAGAATACGTTTTTCAATTAATTTAATTAAAAAACGTATTCTCAAAATACATTTTTCATGTAAAAAAAAGTGGTGGGCAGTGAGCATGTGAGCGGGACTGATGATATAGATAAGGATTTCACCAACTTCAGGCCCATTCAAATGAAACTTTACACTAGTATTGGTGGGGTGCGCCAGGCCCGAGCAATAGTGCAACGCTTGGGCGACGCTCGAAGGCCCGAGTAGCAAGCTACACAATGGGCCTTCCCCCTTAAAAAATTAATTTAATATCGAGTGGGCCGATGGCCCACGTATCAGATATTAAACTGATAAGAACAGATACTACACTTGATCTTAGCCAAAAGGCCGAGAAAGGTATGCTTTTTCTGTTGCCAGAGCGGCTCATTTTATATGTCAGTTGGTTTCTCTGTTCATATTCTGTAAGCGATGTGGGACAAAAGTAAAAAACTATGACGTCAGCATACTATTTTCATTGGAGAAGTTCTTAATTATATTGGCAATTTGGCCGGTTTGGTCGGTGACTGGCTTCAATTACAAATTTCACGTCATTGTGCAAACCAAAAACCACATGACAATGTTCAAAACAATTAAAAAAAAAATAAAATCATAATATTTAGCATAGAGACCACAAAGTGTCAGGCCTGGTATTTTGTAACTATTAAATTCATTTTTTTCTAATTTTAAATTGTGTAGAAATTAATATTTTTTTTCTGATTGCTGTGAAGTGTTGGGCCTGGTATTTTGTAACTATTTTCTTTTCAGCTTCTTTGGTGTCTAGATGCAGTTTGACATAAGGACGAACGAAATAAATTTAAATATCTCCATTTCTATTATTAAAAAAAAAAAAATGTAATGTAACAATATCTTTGAATTAATTTAGGGTAAATGTTACATGAAAAGAAAAAATAAAGAAAAAAAAAATTCTTGCACCATATTTTGAACAAAACCCAATCAATTACATGGACACCATGGTCGGAGATGAATGGCTCCGACCTTTTGAATGGTCTTCTCCGATTCGAACGTGGGGTCTATTGGTCCGGTGCGGTCCAAGTCCGTGCGCGCGCAAGTACCTGCAAAAGCGCTGGAATTGTTCCGGAACAAGACCTTCCGACGCACAAGTCAATATCGCGGTGTAGGAGAATAATGTGTAATAAATATAATAATGTTTGTATAATGATTGATTGTACGGTCTTCCCTGTCGGGGTCATAGGTTCCCGAACCTATATCAAGGGTCGATTCCTCGAGCCGGTTGACATAGGTTCGACCCTCGGACCCTTTCGACCCTTGGTTTGTCGCTTGTCTTTAACTGGTACTTGAGCCAGTCGACCTAGGTTCGACCCTTGGGCCTTTGGCACCCGGTCCGTCATGCGTTCTCAACTTGTCGACCCTTGAGCCGGTCAATTTAGGGTCGACCCTCGGGTCAATCGACATTCGGTCGTCATATGTCCTTAACTTCGACCGGTTCGACCTTTGACACTGTTATCCTTATCAGTATCCAAAAAAAACTATTAGGGAGGCATAAAATAATATAATATTCAATAACATCACATAATTCTTATGTAGAAAAAATGTGTACTGCTACAGGAAAAATGGACAACACATATTATATAATATATGGTATACTTTAACACACGGCAAATTGCATGTCGCAAGTGCTTAAATTTACTCTAGGTTTATGTCGCAAAAGAAAAAAAAATGGTCAAGAACAGTGCGTATAGCCCATGGAGAACTTACAAGTTATATAAGTTTAATTAAATATAATTAATACATCAACCAAGACATCCTAATCTATAACCATATATGCTGATTTATATTTTCCAAATCAATAAATATTTGGAAAGGTTAATCTCAAATTATTGACATAATACAAGTAGAAATAAATCAAAAATAAAATACAAGTAGAAATAGAATAAGATCCATTTCGTGAGCCACGCCTTGACAAAGACAAAAATTGGGTCAACTTTTACTAGAATTGGTGGGGGTACGCCAGGCCCGAGCAGTAGTGTAACGCTTGGGCGACGCTCGAAGGCCCGAGTAGCAAGCTACTCATTGGGCCTTCCCCCTTAAAAAATTAATTTAATACCGAGTGGGCCGATGGCCCACGTATCAGATATTAAACTGATAAGAACAGATACTACACTTGATCTTAGCCAAAAGGCCGAGAAAGGTATGCTTTGTCAGATTCCAGAGCGGCCCTTTTTATATCTCAGTCGGTTTCTCCTTCCAGCTTCTGTAGCCGATGTGGGACATAAGACTTGAGCTCAGCATAGGATTTTTTTTTTTTT